GTAACTTATTTTGGCAACAGATGCAACAAGCTAATAAATTTTTTCATGGTGGTTATATTTTAGTAGAAATCCCATTAATTCTATACATTAATGGCTGTATGTTACGTCCTATTTTAACATTCTGTATCACTAAGTAAATACCCAATTCCTTAGGATCTGAAGTGAATTAAACGTTTAATGAACTCTAAGACTAGGGAGCTCAAAACCTGAGTGAGATCTGACAGTTAAAACGTGTTGTGAATATACTGTATTCGCACTATGCAGGTCAGAAACATTTCAAACTTTCAATTTCCATTTTTTACCTCTTTTCTGTTGTTTCAAGTGGCAAACTTAGAGTGATGTTATCCTCCAAAACTAGTCCAAATACTCTATTCACCTTTAATTACTTGCTTTCCCCCAAAATACCATCTTTAAAAAGGGTATTTTCCTATCAGGTTCTAGCCTAGGGTCCCATCCACCTCTTTTATCTTTTAAAAAAGTGAAACACTTCCTTAAAATAGACTCAAATTATTTTGATGCCCTTGAAATTTTTATGGGCTTTGCAGGAAAAAGGCTGACGAACCAATGCAATATTGTAAACTTTGGGGAGTTATGTACATTATATGAATTTTCCTGTGTAAGGAAGTTCCTAGGATTCATCAATTTCAAAGGGCCTGGGAACCTAAAAAGTTAAGAAGCGCTGCTAAAATGAATTTGTACCACTCACTGTACCTAATTTTTACTAATTTTGTTCTGCAGCTACCCAATCTCCTACACAAATCTTACTTCAGATAGTACCATACAAACACAAATGTTATTAAATGTCCTTTACTGGATCAGAAGGACTATACAAAAGAAAGGAAAAACATTAAATTTTTCTGAACATTTAATTCAATAAGAAAGCTAATAGAAAACTGAGTTTTGGAGCAATTAAAAGAACAAAAGGATTGGGTTTTGTGGTGAATAAACATTGCATTTATTTTTCTCAGTTAAGTTGAAGCAGCAGTAATTTTTACCATTATCTCCCTTGCTGGAAAAATCAAATGATCTGAAGAAGCAAAGGTTGGTTCTTGCTGGTTTATGTGATGCAACAGTTAATAATATACAGCTAGGCTCAAGGAAGACCTTCCAATGGCATTTAAAATAATTAAGAGCAATCCTCTCTGTCTTCCTCATTGGCATTTACCCACCCCTCCATCTCCCAAGTTTTCTTATTTTTGGCCCACTTTTATATAGTGTTAATCGGCCTTGGTGAGGTAATGCACCCAAGAAAACGGAACTGGCCTGCTGAGAGACAGAGAGAACCATCACCAAGAGGGTAGTAGAGGAAATCAAGCAACATTTTGTGCTGCATGAAGGAGGGGAAAAAAAGTCACTTCTTTGTTATATCAATTCAAACAACATTTTCCCCCATCTAATATATTGTCAACTACAATTTAAATATATCTGAGTTTTTTTAGTTGGTGCACTCCTACCTGCTGGTAATATAATCGGGAAAACACGAGAGCAGAAGCCCCTAGGTTAATATATAAAGCAGGCAAAAGGGAAAGAATCTGCGTGAAGGTGAACAGAAGTAGAAATGTTCATTTGACAACAAAGTGGAACCAAATACCTCTCATCAATTCTGTATGGCATCCTGATTTCAGTAGTAACTAACACTTGAGACTTATTATTCTGACCAACAATACAGTATTTTACTCCCAACATTTAGAAAATGTATTCTTAAATATTTCAAGCATATTCTAAAGTAATGTATAATTTAAAAATACAATCCAAACTCATGGCACATTATTGAAGGAAATAAAGTGAAATTAGGCTTCTAAAGTTTTAAACTACAGAGAAGTCGTCCTCATGACTGAAAGAAAAACTAATTAGAAGACTCAATTACAAAATGGTCATCTCACTAGCAATACCTGCAAGCAAAGGTATGAAACTCTTTAAGATTCCTTCAAAGAAAAACCTCAAAAGAGACACATTTATGTACTGAAATATTTACATATTTTCTACTACCAAATCCTAACATAATACTGTACAAATAACAAAACATTATAGGCTTACACCTCTAATTCAAACTTTATGAATTAAAACTATACACCATGAAATTCAAAATGAAAACAGAAAACCTGTAACCAATTTTGTCAGTTCTTTCAGAAATCACAAATTGAATTCCCATATGAATTTGTCCAATAAAGATGGGCAGTGAAATTATTTTTAAAAATTAAAACACACAGTAATCATTTGGCTAAAATTACTAACACTGGCAGTGTGTTTTCAAAAAACAGATTTTTTTCTTAAATAAGATAAATTTAGCTATATATATATATAATTTTAAATGCCTTAAACTCAAACTCAACCAGTATTTCCAGGGTTGGAGAATTCTAAGAAATCCATGACCTATTTCTCTGACTGGCTGCTGTCGGCAGGAAGAGTAAAGGCCAGTTGTTAAAGGTAGTCAAGCATACTGAACAGAGTTGAGCCTCCTCAGTCCAATTTTATTACTATGCTGAGCAAAATTTTCTTCTGAATGAGATTTTTAACTTTGGGGAGAAGAAAGTAAACAGGAGCGTTTTCAAATGAATAATGGAAGTACAAAGAAGCTCTTCAGGGCAGAGACCTGCCTTGTTCAGGACAATTATCTGGCAGACAGTAGGGGGGCTGTAACTATTTTTTTGGATGAGTGATTCAGTTACAATATTAACATACATTAGATTATAAATTGTACTCAAATGTAAACTCCTGAGGGCAAGGACCTATTCATTTCTTTATAGTTCCAAGGTACTTGGCCTAGAACAGTGTTTTGCAGATAACACTCAATAAATTTTGTGGAAAAGCTGGATTATTAGCAGAATTAATATGTGGTCAAATGGATGGTCACTAACAGTGTTAGTATAATTCAGATTATTTGAATTACATACTTGATTTAGTCTTTAATCCAAATTTCTTAATGTGGTAAAAAAATACGTGGTTGGAGCAGTACACTAATTGCATAGTACTCTAGAAGAAGCATTATAATTAAAAATGTTTGAAATAGTTCTAAAGCTAAATAAGAAAAATACCACTTAGATTTTTTAAAGTTAATGCTAATATTGAGCACTGTTTCTGTTATCTGTAAAAGTATATTCCTTAAGAAAGTGGAAATTAAGAGAGCTTACCTTGCTAAAACAATAAGAGATCAGTGAAATTTTTTAATGTTAGGGTAACAAGAGTCTGCTACACAAAATGAATTTCCTATTAAAAGCAGCAAATTGAGTTCGTCCTATTAAAACACTTAAATGAAACTACATTTTAAATGGTATATTACCATCATACAAGAACTTCCACCCTCCAAAGAAACATACAACACATTAAAAAATTTTGAGGCATTGCCCTGAGATGCTAATTAGCACACAAAAGGGGGTTGGGAGGGTAAGAACTTAAGTGGTACAAAAATGATGTGCACAACAGAGGTGCAAAAGTGCCTTTTAAAAGTGTGGTTGGTTCCCACCCCCACCCTTACCCCAGAAATCAAGAACACACACAGTCTGCTATTATAATGTATACTTCCTTTTTTACAATGAAAAATTATATATAGTATGGCAATGCTGACTCATGTGGAAAAGATTTAGTCTTCTCAGAGAATACTTGGTAGTTTTCTCTCACTTCCAAGCTTCATTTCAGTACTAATTTTAACAAGGAATATCTTAACCTCTTCTATTTAAAAACCCTCAAATAAAAAACAACTCTAAATACGCTGTTATGGTTTGAAATATAGCGTTCCATCACATATTTTTACTCGTGACTTACAATTTTGCATCTCAAAGTCTAATTCAAGATTTTGAAATTTCTAGAAAAGATTCAGTCTACTTTAAATATTAAGGAGCTGGCTTCTTATACTAGGAATTTAGTTTTCAGCGCTAGTAGGTCTAGGACTCTCTACACTAGAAGCGCTGCCATCCGCGGACTGCACGCGGAGGTGCCTGCAAAGCCAGAACAGAACATTGTCATACTTTGTACTCTACCACAGATTTAGACACCGAGCATTTATTTGTAAGTTTGGAATTGGTTCTATAATTCCAACTGTTATGAATTTCTAAATATAAATAGTACTTGTTTTTCTTCATTCATGCTGGATTGAGTTATAAATTAAATACAATTAAATTACATTGAATTGCCTCACAAATAAGAGGGATAATGGAAAGGTTTTGCTGGTATGTAACTACTTAAATCTGAGACATTTCACATTACTTTGCCCACTACTCCCCTAACTTTACATTAGTTTTAAGGCTATATATACAAATATGTATATTTCCAAGTTAGGGAAAAAAACAAATATAACAAAACTAATTATACTACCTTTTATACACAGAGTTTCGATTTTGTATTCAATGTTGTATTGTAATCTTATACGTTCATAGTTTTACTAGTGGGGAATCTGCCTACTGAATGATTAAATTACACGGCAATAAATACAATATCCAACCTAGACAGACAAAAATACAGAAGGGCACAAAACAGTAGTCTTTTCTGCGTGACAGATTTAAAAACTTACTTTCACATGCTTAATCAGAGGAATTTAAGCCTAAATTAAATTAGGTATTTTTATATCTACAATTCTTTAAGCTTTGAAAGTTATTTTTAAAGGCGAACAGCTAAATATTAGCAACATGCTATATTTCAAATCACAAATACATCTTAACTACTTGGATTCTAAAGACATGGGCCAATTAAGAATCACAGGCAAACACACGCTCACACACACACACGCACACGCACACACACACACCCCTACTATAGAGTGTTAGATTGTCAAACTGACAATTATTTTAATTAAACAGTAGGCAAATTCAAGCTGATCCACATCTTAATGAAAAATAAGCAGCCAGAAAGAACTCTGTTAAAAAACACATTAAGAAACAACACAGACTTAAATCTTGTAGTCTTTCTAATGGAAGGGAAACAGTTCCATCTGTGCCTTGAGTAACAGTATTTCCCAATTAAAAGAGACTAGCATCTTTCCCCATGAGAAACTTCTCATTTACAACGGCATGGTGTTTTATAAGGGTGGGGTAAAGGAGGAATTACACATACATGATTAAATTTCTTGTTTGTTAAATCAAGCTTTATTGATAAAATGGAATCAGAATACCTTACTAGGAACGGCAGCAGGCCCAGCCAATAATGATAGCAAAAACGTGGCAGTCTCCTACTATCCGCAGGAAGCTGCTGCTTATCAATTAGTCATTCAACGTAAGGACTTGTAAAAGAGGTGCAAAGAATCAAGGCATTTTAGCCCCAAGATTGATATTCTTATGAATATACTGTATTACCTGCAATACTCCTGGCAACAAGGCGAGGACAACCTAAAAGTTAAATGAAGGGACCAGCTTTATCAACAGTGCCAACCCCACTGCCAAGATAGTTTTCGGTTAACTCCCTGGATGTTCGGCTTTGTAAGATTTTGGAATTATTCTCCATAATTGTGAGCACATTTGAGCGTCTAGCTGGCATGGCTGCTACTCTCCCTGTCCCGACCCCAAGTCCAAGCACAACATGACTTCAAAGGACTATATATCTGTTGCATCACACAACAAGCCAAACATTTTTTGTAACTTTGATAGTGACTTAAAGCAGTTCATAATTAAATATGAGCATTTTGTACAAGGACAATTACACTTTACAAAAACAAAATCATACAACAAAAATTGCTGGAGTCTGATTTACAACATGAATTATGGTTTGAAATCACGTTTACATTAAGTCTCAAATTTACCAAAAAAAAAAAAAAAATCAGTCCTGGGCTAGCTGTTGTACTGCTGAGTTCTCCGGTGTGGCCCACTCTCACCCACGTCAGATGTCCTTCTTTAAAGGTCAGGATGGATGTTTGCAAGGTTCAAGGAAGTTGAGCTGTACTCTCCTTTGGAGGTGAAGGTAAACTCCATGGCTAGATGAGCAGTTTTACCACATGTCATCAGTCGATGTAGAGTCCTTTATAAAAGGAAACAGAGCAGAACAAGGAACTACATTAAAGCTGAGAGGTGCCAAAAAACATTACTTTCTGGATAATGCAGAAAGGTAAGGTTTTGTAAAGCTGACATCTGGACTACAAGTGCTTTTTAAAGTGTATGTGTGTCTATGTAATATTAGTATTCTATCTGCTCAAAAAATTGTTAACCCTTTGTTTTGTTTTGGAATAAAATATTTGAAATACAATTTTACCACGAGGTTGACCAAATGTATTTCTAAATCAGTATAATTACTAAAAAATGTTTATTTTCTTCAATTAAAACCCAATTTATCTTCAGAACACTACTTTTATTACATAAGAAGAGATTAAGGCCTCAGGTAATATGAGATTTGAGGAGGCTTCACAATGCAATATATATCTCAGAGCTGTGCCCAAATGATTTTAAGTCACCACTTTCCTGTGGTGACTTACTACAACAGAATTCTAACAGGAAATTTAAGTGGAGAATAGGACATTCTAATGTCTTCTTATATAAGTAGAGTTCTCTACTTTAGTATTTAAATGAAGTATATATTTCAGGGTTCTCAGCAAAGGTATTTCCAAACAAAAACTACTTAGTGGAGCTGAGCATTCTGAAGTTCTGTTGCAGCTGCTTATAAAACTCAGAATTCAAAATTCTGAGCAGAGGGATTATTTCCAACTTCAAAAAATCATTTAGTGGAGGCAAACCTTCTGAAGCTGATTGCTTGTAGAGACTTAAAAAACCAAGAATAATTCAAAGGGGCTTTCTTCTTTTTCGAGAGAGGTGGCCACTCACCATGATTATGTCCTCAATCACTAGAACTGTGGTGCAGCCAGAGCTCAGAGCAATCAATCAGGGGTGTGTGTAAGAGAGTGGGTGCAGGGAACGGCTCTGCAAAAACAGGCAGGAAGGATATGCATTTAGAGTGAAGGGGAAGGGAAAGCAGATGGAGCCAAAATGTTACTTACAGTGTCATCATTTTTGTAAGGATTCAGTCTATTGTAAACGGCTTCAATTACATTCCGCCTAAATTTAAAAAAATGCAGAAAGTTAATTCTTTAGAGCACAAAACTTTAACAATTCATAGTTAGGCGCTCATTAAAATGTCAAAGATATACTTAGACATTATTTTAATTCTATTTCTTTTTTTTTTTTAAAGATTTTATTTATTTATTTGAGAGAGAGAATGAGAGAGAGAGAGCACGAGGGGGAGGAGGGTCAGAGGGAGAAGCAGACTCCCCGCTGAGCAGGGAGTCCGATGCGGGACTCGATCCAGGGACTCCAGGATCATGACCTGAGCCGAAGGCAGTCACTTAACCAACTGAACCACCCAGGCGCCCTTAATTCTATTTCTTACTGTCAATAAGTGATCCTCACTTATTTGAGGTATTTGAGCCCCTATGTTAAACTAGAGGTGAATTTACTCTAAAATGTTAACATTCCACCAACCCAATTAATAGAAGACTAAAAGTCATGGTACAAAAAAAAAAAATCAGTCTATTTATGGTCTACTTCATTTGAACTGGCTTATGTGGTTATGAGTCAGCAATGACGATGCAGTTTTAAGATAAAATACTAATATATATCCTGCCTAAGAGTTGAATGGTAGTTTTGAAGTAGAAGTAACTTCAGCATCTGTTGCGGTAAAATAATTTAGATAAATTTTACATTTAAATTTCTGCTTTATGTAATGCCCCCTTTAAAAAACTCTATTAAAGCTAAAATGTCAAATATGACATTTCCCTGCCAAGTCTAGGACTTTAATAACATTTTGTTAAACAATCTGTAGTGGTATTTATAAGTTATAGCCTCCCCTACTTCCAAAATTGATTTGAAGCAATTTCATAGACAGTCATTTCACAGAAAGTCATATTGGAAGAAAAGGCTTCCAAGCTTCAAATAGGAATTTTAACAATTACTATTTAGAGAAATGATTATAAAGAACATGGTTACATTTACAGAACACAGTAGAGAATCAAGGAAATTATCAATATATCTTTGTAGGTCCATTATATGGATATCAGAGGTAAAAATGTTTGAATTATAAAATTTCTTAAAGTCTCCACTTTATAAAGATGTAAGCTTAATATCTGACACAAATTAGTCCAGTTCTATGAACTGAAATGCACACAGAAAAAGGCAAGAAATGCATCCTCTTATCTTCCCTCGTTACAAAATCCAACCAACCAGGAATCAACAATCAAAGACACCGGGAAATCAGAGATAGAAAAAAATGGCCTAGGGGCGCCTGGGTGGCTCAGTGGTTGAGCATCTGCCTTCAGCTCAGGTCATGATCCCAGGGTCCTGGGATCGAGCCCCACATCGGGCTTCCTGCTCTGTTCAGCAGGAAGCCTGCTTCTCCCTCTCCCACTCCCCCTGCTTGTGTTCCTGCTCTCGCTGTCTCTGTCAAATAAATAAATAAAATCTTAAAAAAAAAAAAAATGGCCTAGCTGGAGGAAGGGAAAGATGCTCATCACTGGGGTGCTAAATTATCCAAGGATTGACAAAATCAAATTAAAATAGTAGCAATAAAAATGACAATTAGAATTTTGTAGTGCTACATAATTTAGCTTAAAAAATTATTTCACAAAAAATATTTCACTGTATTAATTTACTTATCCTATAACCCAAGCCTTCACTAAAGACAGCCTTCAGTATAATTAGTTACACATAATGACATTCTGACACCTATTCTAAAACATGCATCATGTATCATTAATAATGAAAAACACTGAATCACAGGCTAAACATTTTGAACATACAGGTAACTGCATCACTTTAGAAATTAGGTAAATACACATTTGATCAATGAACACCTAACATTTTTATGTGCGGAGATAAATTTTAAGAGTATGCAGAATGTAACTTACTTGCTTGCCAATTCACCCCCTGGTGGGAGGCTGGGAATGTTCTCACTTGCTAATGTGCGCATCACATGGACTAAGTCAGGGACGCCTTCCCCCTGCTTCTTTATGATTTCTGGGAATCAGAAGTACTTTTTTTGTAAGTGTTGTCCAAATTTAATTAAAAAAAAAACCGAAACAAAGATAACTTAGGTTTTTAAAGATGGCATTTACCACATCTGAGATTTTCTAAGCTGGTATTAGAAAAAAAAAATCAAGTTGACTTTTGAAAATTTATGACAAAGGGATGCACAAAATGACACCAAAAAATGAGATACTTTCCAGATTAACTTCGAAGAATGAAAATAAGCAAGACAAAAATGTGAAAAAAATTTCATGTTAAAATCAATATACTTTATGATCAAGGATATGGGTATACAAACGAGAATATTCTTAAGATGCCAACTAGCTACTTCTGAGGAGGTCAACTCCTCTCTTTAGACTACAAACATGTTTCTTGAATTTTGCACAGGTTTTTTTAAAAAAATAACCAATCTCAAAATTTGAAAGGAAAAAAACCCTTTAAACATAAGGGCATTTTTTGATTATATATGAACTCAAATCATTTTTACATATGTTTATACTTGCAAAGTGAGACTTAAGTAGCATGTGCAGATTACCACTCACAGCTTAATTTTTGTCTGAAGTATCTTTAAGCAGTAAATAGATATATAATACCATTTCCCCAGTTGGTCATTTGAACAGGGCATATGGAGTGGAAAAAAATATATAAATTTCATGATAAATTTTTACAAAGAAAAAATTTGATAAACCATACAACTGCACTTAAAATTGTTAATTTCAAAACATCCAGTTATTAAATGGGTATAGTGATATGACCTGCAGTGTTGCCATGTAGACGCATACTGTTATTCATACCACAGAATACCAACAATTATATACAACCAACTTAAAGAATTCTCAAACTATCAAGTACAAGAAGTCTTCACTTGGAGTTTTAGCATATTTATTCTAAATGCAAGATCATACCAAAGGTATTTGTAATTTAAAAGTTCAAGTTTTGCTCAATTTTCTGTTTTTAAATGTTTTTAAATGTAAGAAATTCTCTTTGTCATCATTAGGGCAAGAAAACTGTCATTCTAGTTCTCAATTTATAAATACCTTTGAAAATCACAATGCATATAAAGATGTTCCATCCTTCGATCAAGTCTCAAAATATCAATTCCTCATTAAAGCCATATATTAAAAGACAGACATTGCTACCCATATTTCTTTAAATGGCTCAAATTGTCCTTTTGGAATTAAGGCCAAATTTTACCATGTATTCTTTTTTTGCCTTTTTTTTCAAACCAGTCTTAAATCTGAACAAAAAGCAAGGATCTCAGATTTGGTTTGCCAAGTTCCTTTATTGTATAATCTTTAACATCTAGTATTCTACATGGTTCTAATGCTGGAAATCTGCTGTACAAAAATAAAGGGTTTTGATGTTTACCTAAGCTGCACAATTTCACAATCTAAAGCTGTAAAACACTTAACATACAGTCTCTGCTAAGCCAATACAATTATTGGATAGATAACTAAATACAATAGAAATGAACACTGATGATAAAGTCAATCAATGATAGTTTCAGGTCTAAAAAACATTACCTTGATTCATCTATATTTGATGTATCTTACATCTCCTTTATTAAAATATATATTAGGGTATTTTAATTGTGAAGAAAATTACAGGAAGACAAATTCTTTAAAAAAATTAATGTAAGGCTTTAAAAACAGTATCTCCTATTCCACACGGGACAACACATTTAAACTGTCTTACCATTAATACTACACTAGCATTGCTTCTTCTGCTTTTAAAAAGGAAAACAAGATGAATTTTATGAAATATTCCTTTAATTGCTCTTGAACTATACATTAATTAGAATTGTAAAAAGGCTGAATGCTTTTACTAAAGAATATATGTATAGAAGATCTGTTTCCCATACTCACATATAAACACATTCTGTTCTTCCCTACTCCCCTCCACACCAAGTCTGAGGCATCCTATCAGTTATGTCCAAATTAGCAACTTTAAAGCTTGGGCAGTCAACAGAAAAGATTTAAAAAGTATATACATACAAGTACAATCTTAAATTGGCTTAGAAGGACCACAACCTTAAGTGATGTTTAAATTATGAGCTGAGTCTTTTTATCACAACCCTAGACAGTCAAGTATTTAGAAGGGCACAGGTAATGGGAGAGCTGAAAAGCCTTTCCTCTTTTGTATGGTGTGGACAGAAAAGCCGAAAGTATTCAAAGCAAATAAAATGAGGTTTAGTAGATCACAGCAATTTTGAAGACATGTATTTAAACAAAAGAAAGAAAAGAAAGAAAAAAATATTCAGTGCCTGTTTTGGAAGCTGAATGCAGTATTTTTTACTTAGAACAACTTTTGCAATGTAAATAGTTACATTCTATGTTTTAAAATATAGTAGCAACTTTAATTAATGTAATTATTTATTTTCTAGTTGCAGTCTTATCAAACCTACCTCAATAAAGAATATGAAATTTAATTTGTGACATAATAATCTCAAATTGAATGATACAAGTATATTTCAACATATCAAAAATATTGAGTATTGATGTAAACTCTGTTCAGGTGGCAATTCTTCCTTGATAAAAAGCAATATAAAACTTAATATTGTAACATAAAATTATGTACCTAAAGCAATTATTTAGAATTGCACCAAAAACTTAAGAGTGCACACTAAAAAGCTGTAATTCATTTCTAAAATATGATCCTGTTTCATAGTAAATAAAACTAAAGTACTTATTCTTTAAATCAATAAGAAAACATGTACACCCAAATTACTTAAAGTGCCAATAAATCACATACCAATTTATCCCAATACATATTCTTACTGTTTCATTTTTCCACTAGCCAGCAGCTTGAACCAATGTGGTATGACTTGGTAGCATTCTAAATATTTTATTTTAGTGTATTATATAGAAATAACATATCAAAATGATTCATTTAAAATATAAAAATTCCAAGAGCCTTGGGTAATAGTAAGAAAACAAACTCAGTGAACAATATGTCCAATGAATGAAATACTACATAGTACACACATACTAGATATAGCACTATCGAGTGGGGGAGCAATAAAAACAAAACAGCAGCTCTAGATGGTACTGAAAATCAAAACCAATCCTGATTCTAATAGCAGACTGATTATAATTGATATCAAACAGTAAAAACGGAGAAAACAAAATTAAAGTGCATATTAATTTTAATAATGCAGGCACAGCAGGATATAATAGTGTGTAGGTCAATGCTTACATGCTATTAGATCTTTAACGTGCAAATTCACGACATTAGGAGCCCAAGATGCATTTTAACGCTATCATAGGCATGTCAAGCTTTTCTGCTTAAAAGAAACTGCATAATCTACATGCTCATTGCATATATGCAGCCAAATGGAATTCTCTGGGGAGACTTAGCATATAAAGCAATAGCTTCATAAAAGGTTGTTTGTATTTTTTCAGATATTTAAAGGCATTACACTTGAGAGTTACAAACATCTTTCTAATTGTCTCCAGGTAATTTGCAGAATTATGACAAATATATTCCTGAAATTCCCAACTTATTTCTTCCTTTTATTCAGCATTTATATTTCTGCCAAGTAGAAACCTAGTATATCTTCTATTCAGGTCTATGTTGTCTCAGTGAGGAAGTTTATGGCTTAGGCAAGAAGCCTTGAAACAGTTTAAAATAAATTTTTTAAAAAGCTGTGGCACATGAAAGTTGCTAACAACCAGGCTGTGATCTTCAAGTTATTAAAAAAAAATCCTAAAGACCAATTCATATACATAGCTTTACACAGAAAGATGGTATTCAAATTATCACCATCATAAATAATCTGTTTATAATTAAATAAACCACAAATCAGGCTTTCCTGGCATAAAACTACTCATGCCAGTGAATTCATCAAGAATTTTAAAGCATACAAACACTTTTCAGCCTTTTTAAACAAAAGTATCCTGAACAGAATGTACAGGGTCACACTAGTTATTTCTAATATAACTGTAATAGGACAATCAAAAACATCTGAACAGTTACTACAGAAATGCCCTTTCCCACTTTTGTACACTAAACACTAAATGTCAAAGGCATGTAAAGATCTAAAAGCTAAAATATTTTGATTGTGTTGAGGTTTTTCTTTAATAAAGCTACTTATTTTTTGTTAAATGATCCACCTTCTACTCTGCTTTCCAGGTACTTGTCCAATTCTGCCTCCTTCTTCACTGCTTCTGGTGATACTTTGGGTGCATTTGGAAAACAGATCAGTATCACACTCATGTTGTCTCGACTTCCCTGGGAAGAAAGAAGTTTGAAAAATATTATGCTTTCTTCTTGCTCTTTAAAGCCTTGAAAACTTTCACAGTTACGACTATCTTAATTATACTTGTTCTAGTAAAAAATATATAAATTGTTTTAAAGGAGAAAAAATATGCATATGTGGAGAGGCACCCCCCCAGCCATAAACATACAGTGTATATGGTATACAGTATAACCAACACTCCAAAAGATAGGAGAAGCACTACAGGCTAACATCCACTGCAACAATCATTTTTTTAAAATGCTATAAAACAAAAATATTTCTGAACATTTACTGGCAGCCTACTTAATTTGAAGATACCTAACACAAATGTACATACATACATACATGCACACACACACATAATCAACAGAAAATTCTAGGGGATTTGACCTATAGTTACATGTATACTCAACAAATTTGTATTTAAAATAAATTATAATAAATTTGGGGGCTAACTACTTTGCTTCATAATAAACAGAAACATGGAATTAGTAAAACACTAAATATATATAATTTATAAACCAGTTTTTTAACTTTCATAATTTAAAAAAATGGCTTAACTTTTAGGAAGTATATTCATTTTTAAAGATACCTAGGTATTCAAAATGCTGTAATTAAAATACCTGAATCAATGTTAGCCTCCTCATATTCCCCTCCCTATTAGGAACTGGAGTTAACTTTTACATTTTAAATATTTGATTCCTCAATATGGGAAAACTGACCTTATACCATTAGTTTAAGCAAACCAAAAAATTTAATATTAAAAAGAATCTTGGAGAAAAACAGTATACAATGTGGCAAATGATAGGGTACTGAATAATTTTTAAAATGGAGAATGCAAACAAGATATTAGCTGAGTCATAATTTACTAGTATCTGAATGTGACAATTCTCTCCAAGAAAACAGCTTTTAATCTAGCCAACAACTATTTAATTCTCAAGAGCTACAGAATAAGACCAACAAATAGATACTACTTTTATGCATACTAAAAGGGACAAAGAGCACATGCATCACTGTTTGGCTCTCCTCAAATTCAGAAATCAAGAGTGTGAACTATTAAATTGTTGCTCTACTGGTTTTTTTTTTAAAAACCTACGGGGCGCCTGCGTGGCTCAGTTGGTTAAGCCACTGCCTTCGGCTCAGGTCATGATCCTGGAGTCCGGGGATCGAGTCCCACATCGGGCTCCCTGCTTAGCGGGGAGTCTGTTTCTCCCTCTGACCCTCCTCCCTCTCGCGCTATCTCTCATTCTCTCTCAAATAAATAAATAAAATCTTTTAAAAAAAAAAACCTATGTGCTGGATGTTACATAAACTTGATTTGTGTTGGATGTTACATAAACCTGATTTCTAAGTATGATCAGATTTTAATTAAGATTTTAAGTAGAGCTGGCAGTATGCTTATAAAACTACAAAGAACATTAAGATGACTTTCTATTTCTGCACGTTAAAAGAAAATCAAATATGTAGTCTCAGAAGAGTTTTATAAAATCAACATTTGTTAGAGAAAAAGAAAAAATATCAAAGAATTAGTGAACATTACAGACAAAAAATTTAATTCATCAGCAGTCCTATGAGTTAGCTACTACTATCTCCACTCAGTAGCTGAGAGAGGTCAAACAATTTGTCCGAGACTGTAAAAGTGACCCAGGTAAGCCTGACTCAAGGCCTGCCTCTTCAGTCGGCTTCCTCTTGCTTCAGCTTCCTCATCTGTAAAATAAAGGGGCTGAGCTGGCTCATCTACATGTATGAACACTTTTGATCATCCCAACAACCCCATGAGATAGGGTGATAATATCTCTTACCTTTTTTACAGTTAAAGAAACTGATTTTCCAGACAGCTTAAATAGCTTACCTGAAGTCATACTCAAGTCTCATACCACGTTCTTCTGACGCCATGTACAAGGCTATTTTTATTACATCATACCAAGTGATTACTAAATTCTCTTTGTTGGTGCTACATATTCATTAGACTATAGTCTCACAGTACTTCCATGATTGTATGGAGATATCACATGATAAAAATAAAATATTAAAATTCTAAAATGCTTTTCATTTATTAGACACAAAGGCCTACCCCTCCCCTATGCCTTTCCTTTTAAGACATGCACTCTGATAGTCTTTTTGCCTTTGATAATCTTCCACAATATTAAAAAGCTGAGGTAGTCATGGTTACTAAAAGACCATTTAGATTATAATTCTTGCATATTTGGTAATTGGGTAATTTATTTCTAAAAAATGTTCCTGAATTTTCATAATTGGTAAAGAGTATCCTGCAGTTTTGTGCCAAGAACTTATTTCTTGAGAACTACAGTTTCTAAAATGATTAAATACTAGAGTAATAGTTAAGATGACATACAACCATTTTTATCTTTTAAAAGAAAGTCTAACTACCTTATACAAACAGGTGTCGACTACTTCATTGCAAACTTTCTCAAGGTCATCAGTGACTTCAAGTCTGGATCTTACAAAATCACAGAGCTCTTCATTTCCCATAACATCCCAAATACCATCACATGCAAGGATAATGAACTGATCATCTTCTTCAGATCTTTCAATATCATGGACTTCAGGCTCTGGTGAGACAAGCTGCTCTGTAGGACCTTTTCCATGGACACATTTGTAATCAAAGTCCCCAAGGGCCCTCGATACAGCCAGAGAGCCATTCACACGCTGAATCATTACAGAACCACCTGCATTCTGAATTCGTTCTTTTTCCAGCGGATTACTTGGTTTGTGATCTTGTGTGAAGAAGTGAACTTTCCTGTTTCTACAAAGTAAACCTCTCGAGTCTCCACAGTTAATGAAATAAGTATGTTGAGGAGAAATTAAGACACCCACAGCTGTTGACCCACTTCTATCTGCACCATGTTTCTTCTCTGACATAACTCTCATGTGTTCATCAATCTCCAGAAAACCTGTTCTGATTCCATTCTTTACATTTTCCACAGAAGGTGCTCCTGCAGACCCTTTAAAATCCTGGTTATTGGTGATGTGATCTAACAAATGCTCACAGCAGTATTTGGCAACCTGAGAACCAGCATGCCCGTCATACACAGCAAAGAATGACCATGTTTCAAGTCCACTTGGCAAACCGATCACAGCCGTATGTGCATCCTCCATTTCAACTCGCCAACCTTGCATGCTGCTTAGCCCATATCGCAACCCATTACCCTGCCCCTGGGCATTATGTTTTTCCATCTTTGGCTTGTCTAAAAATGCTCCCATTATGTCTTGATATTCTAGGTCTGCAAAGGAAGAGAAACAGGAAAGTTAATAACTATTTTATACACAAAATACATATCCAACAACCTTTTTAAGAGTGAAGAAAATATAAAGAAAGCTTTAAATAAGAAATCACAACTTTATAAGCAGACACTCATTGTGTTGTGGACCTGGAACCTAGAGATTAGCAAGAAAGAATTGGGGGAGAGGCTGATCAGGCACAGCTTAGAATGAACAACAGGCAGAGAGACCTAAAGCATCAGGATAAAAGTAGCTGACCTGACACTGCCCCGCCAGGCACAACCACCTGAGGTAGAAAGGAGACTGGCAGTGGTCATCAGCTTACATGAACCAGGCCAAGTGTTTAAGGATGCAATGAATATGTGAATCTCTTAGGGAATCTCAGACCTAAATTGTATGTGTATGTTAATCAAGAAAAAGCCAAATGAATTCACAACATACCAAAAGCCTACTAATTCAAACATCTTGGTTGAACATTTAGGATTTTCCAGTTTTATTCTGAACTACCTATAGTGTTATTCCTACTACATGAACATTCTGAAAAAGTAAAAAAATTATCTACTCACAAAGATCCGAATTTGCATACTCATTCCTTTAAGCCTTTGCTCATGTCAGTCCCCTTAACTGGAATCCCTTTGCCCCTCCTCCCTACTTATAGAAAAATGTATATCCATCTTTTAAAGTCTAGTTCAAATTCTACTTTTTCCATAGGTTTTTCAGTCTCTGACAAAGCCATTAAGTTATTAAATTATCATACAGAGTACAACCTCAACGGTCAAGTTGCAAAGCAATTATACATACATACAACGAAGCTTGTTATATATAACAAAATCAACCTATTGTGATCTACTGATGTTCTGTTAATTTAGCAGTAATAACATGTATCATTATTATTATACTCTATGACCATTAGGTATAAAGTAAAGGAGATTAGACGGTCTAGGAAAAGCCATGTCAACAAGGATTAGCTAATCTAATCCTTTCCCAATAATCAAAAGCTAAAAACTGGTCTGAAATGGGCCCACACAACCCAGGGGCAAAGTTGGTTAGAATTTAGGTTGACCTTTACTTGAGTAATATAGCCTAGGAATGTAGAGACATGGGGTCCAAGTCATCAAATTAAGTCACAACTGAACTCAAACCAATCCAAAAGAAGGCTAGAATTAAATTTAATGGAGGTAAAATGGGGAGGCAAAATAGGGGGTAGGTAAAAGTACCTAGGTAAATCAGGATGCAGTTATGAGACTAAGGGATTGATGATGCTAGTGATTCTAAGCTTTGAGAAGTTGGGAGAGAAAAGTTTAAGAAAAACTCCTTAGGAAGGTCCCAGTGTCCCAGTAACCTTTTCCCCCTTCTTCTCCTACCGGGACCAAACTAATACACAAGAGAGAAGTCTGGCTGACTGGTGTGATAAAACAATCTCCTGCTTACTCTTCTGTCCCTTATGACAATTCCACTAATGAAGGTAAATAATGAAAACTAGCCATCATTATTCCTTATGGTAGTATTCATCAGATTACCAGATACCAAGTTGATATACATTACTATGACAAGGGTGCTTTGATTAGACAAAGGAATAACATAATGATGATACCTTAATAGCAGACTATATTTAAAAATAATTCTAAATCATTCATTCTCAACAACCCTCTAAAGTCAGTAATAATATCTTCAATTTATAGATGTATCTCAGTGAAACTAAAGAACTTGGCCAAGGTTACTCAACTGATAAGTTTAGAGGAATCAGGACTCTAATTCAAGCCTGTCTGAATCTAAAACACCATTTACCACTACGGCAATGGTCTTGATCATGGATATGTAAAAGAATTATTTGTGGACTTTTTGAAAAATTACAATTAACAAATCAGAATTTCCAGGGTAGGGTTGGAACCTAGACATTTGTGTATCTGTAAAAAAGATTAGATGAGATGCCTAGATAGGTACATCTAGTATCTTTTTTTTTAAATTTTTTTAATGTTATGTTAATCACCATACAGTACATCATTAGTTTTTGATGTAGTGTTCCATGATTCATTGTTTGTGCATAACACCCAGTGCTCCACGCAGAACGTGCCCTCTTTAATACCCATCACCAGGCTAACCCATCCCCCCCCACCCCCCGCCCCCCTAGGACCCTCAGTTTGTTTCTCAGAGTCTGTCGTCTCTCATGGTTCGTCCCCCTCTCCGGTTTTAGATAGGTACATCTAGACGGCTAGATGATGACTGAGCCATCGTGAAGTCATCTGCTGAAGGTCAACAGCAATTTGCCTCATCTCTGTACCTCAATTCCTTTAGTTAGACTAAACGGGAGGAGAGAGATACAGTTAAGATGCTTGATAATCTAGCATTCCTCGTCTGTACAACGAACATATTTATACTTACCTCTGAATGTTGCTTCAAGGTTTAAATGAGGTAGGCAAAAATAAGGCACTCAGTAAACTAATTATTACTACATTCCTACATATACAGTCACACTAGACTCAGATAGTACCTAACAGGGAACTTACTCTCTTTTGCAGAAAAGTCCAGTAGCTATTTTCCAGATATACATATAAAACTACCAAATAAATAATTCTTTGAAGACAAACAGGATAAAATTTCTAAAAACAAAACCCAAACTTTTAAAAAATATATATTAGAAATGTAAAAAATGTAACAAACCAAGTCAACCATCTGATAAAAATTTAGGTCCAGCCCATAGCAAGTATAAAAATATACATCAAGGACAAATTGGTAGTTTTGTGGTTGGACTTTCACATAGTGAAAACAGACAATTCAGAAATCTTACCTCCTGGGATTCTGAGTAATTTGTAGAATCCTAGTGAAGCAGCCAACAATAGCTACATAAATACAGCAGATGGTTATGTAAATATAATACTTACCAGAAATTACTTAGTTATAAATACTATGTTTACATAGTCATCTTCCAGAAGTGGACTACTAATTATGTAGTCAAATTATTAAATTGGCATCTATCTATAAATAGTAAATCCCAAGGGGTTCAATTTGCCCATGAAAGCTTAAGCTAGTTTCTGAAAGAAATTCTAGTTCTCGCCTCGTCTTAGATCTACTCTGAGCACATGCCGGATGGATCTCACCACAACACTAGCTTATCGGTTGATCTGAACTTTTCAAAACAAAGTACTATGACAATCACAAGACTGAACTCATCTTTGATATAATCAGAAATTTTGGTGAACACTTTCTGTCTTTGAAAACTAACTCCTAAATTGAAAAATTCTAAGGCTGGGCCAGGAAGTCATTCATTAAAGTTCAGCCATTGGCTTTTATTAAGCAAAACTGATCTCATAGTCATAGCAGAAAAGTCTCGTACCTTGTTATTTGGTTTAATCTGCTTATAAATCACCCCCCCAATAAAAGCTCTATATATTCAACTGATAAGATCCTTAAGCAACATATTAGCCCAGAAACAAGAGTTAGTCAAAAAATTGAGGAGTAAAACCATATAAGGTTTTTTTTCTGTTTACCTATGGGGACACAGGCTAATACAGAACCCCTCCAGGCTCCATTAAACAGAGGACAAAATAGACATGTAAACAATGTGGAGAGGGGCGCCTGGGTGGCTCAGTTGTTAAGCGTCTGCCTTCGGCTCAGGTCATGGTCCCAGGGTCCTGGGATGGAGCCCCGCATCAGGCTCCCTGCTCTGTGGGAGGCCTACTTCTCCCTCTCCCACTCCCCCTGCTTGTGTTCCTGCTCTCACTAACTCTGTCAAATAAATAAATAAAATCTTAGAAAACAAAACAAAGCAGGGGCACCTGGGTGGTTCAGTTGGTTAGGCGACTGCCTTCGGCTCAGGTCGTGGTCTCAGGGTCCTGGGATCGAGCCCCGCATCAGGCTCCCTGCTCGGCGGGAAGCCTGCTTCTCCCTTTTCCACTCCCCCTGCTTGTGTTCCCTCACTCGCTGTCTTGTGTCAAATAAATAAATAAAATCCTTAAAAAAAAAAAGAAAGAAAGAATGGCTTGGTGTTGGGTCTTCTGTGTTGCCTTTAAACTCCTGTTGCCTACACAATAGCGGAAGGAAGAACTGCAAGTCCGTGTCTGAGGAGGGGAGTTTCTC